CATGATCATGAATGATGAACTGGAAGAGTGTAGGAGGGGGTAGAAAAGAATGCGGAACCGTCCCTCTGATCAATTAATTCAACCTTGTGCCATGAAGACACGTGAGGAAGTGGAGGTATAGCTTCAACTCTGTTGACATGGGCGTTAGAGATCCCAGTCACTTTACCGGTATCCACTGTATTCGAAGGTGAGTGGACTCCGGGACCGATTTGGACGTTGGCGAGTAGACAAAAATCTCTTGCTCATGCCACAAATTGAAATCCGACCGTCCAGCCCGTAGCCCATCGCCGCTCGTCGGCGAAGTTAGTGTCAACTTTAGCGGATAGATGTCGCGTAGTCAGAGCAACGAATCCCCATGGCCGTTAATTTCGGTTTTCTACACCGGATACGCTATTTCCTTGAAATAGTTCCTCAGTTATCCTCACGAGTTTGAGTGCACCCGTTCCAGACCCATTACTTCTCAGAAAATCTGGTAACGCCGGGAATCCAACCTGGACTTCCGGATCTGTAGCCAGGAACTCTGACCACTAGACCACAGAGGCGGTGTTACTATACACTTACGTAGATAAAAAGAAAAGATATATAATTGAAAAGGAAACGAAAGTATTATTCTGAAGAATACATACTGAGGGCGTGGGAAACTGCTGTCGAAGTATTTGCCATTATATCATTTTCGCCCAGCATCATGTCAATGAAGCCGATAGGAAAGTGAATGGGGCACTCGTTAAAACATTAATAATAACACGCATTTAGGTCTTAAACATGGACTGAGATAAACGAAGCAGAAGGTAATGACAGAAACCGGGGGGACTTGGAGGACACAGAGGGCGAAAAGCTCCATCATCTCCAGCTTCTCATGTTCTTTCATTGAGCCTCTTCTTCTCGACTCTACTCATTTCGAGATGGCAACTATAGAGAAACTTAAAGTTGCTTTTCAATTTCCTCCTAGCCCCAACCCCCTTGCATCTTACATGCTATTAATATTCAAAAGGCGCTCGAGAAAGTTGCCTCTGTGCGCACCAAGTGTTGGGCCTGAGAAAATAGAGACAAGGTGTCTGTAGGGACATGTGGAGGCCCTCAGAACGCACACAAATCTACATGCCCTCATCACATCTTCCACTATCTTCGCTCTTTCGTATTGCCATCCGGATTATAATGTTATACATATTCATGCAGACTAATTGGCGTTCAGTGAAGCAGATAGACCACCTGAAGTCCTTATCAAATTGAAGATGTAGATTTCATGAAACCAGGGCCAATCTGTTCCCAACTCTTGATTTATAGTTTTCCCTAGCAATTTATTGGTGAAAAAATGATGAAAGAACAAGACAATGTGAAGAAGCGTCTTTCCAGTATCCTTTTAATGCATTGTCGATAAAATGACGTTCTTACGTAAGAACTGTAGGGGTAAAATTAAATTAGTTTGGACATTTCTAAAGAAATATGCAATTTTCTTAACTATAAATACTCTGTTCCATAATTTTGCCATGGATATTTTATTGTACAAATAAGGTTTTGTATGAGTTGTTTGCAACCATAATAAAGGGCTGTTTTGCCTACTGATATCTCTCAAGAAATGTAAGAACATAAAATGTGGCAAAGGAGATTATATTCTGGGAAGTAATACCGTGTACTTCGGTAGATCTTATAAATATTTCCGAGAAACTTGCTGCTTCTATCTTCTTGATATAATCCTGAGGCAGCAGGTTCCACCGAAATGTTGATAATGACCTACAGCACTCAACTGCCTCACACGAAGAAGGTGAGGGTAGCGTTAACACGGGAAATGCTTAGTTTGAGTCTCGGTCGGGGAGAGGCCTACCTTTACTGGATTTCTTTGTAGTTCTTCTCAGCCCGTCGGGAGAAACGCCGAGAGACTGTACGTTCACAAGACGATAATGGTTTATTTCCTAATCCTTTCCAATTCATCATATATCTTGTCATCCTTCTGTTCGGCGCCATGATGCCTACAGATCCTGACATCGTCGTAAAAAACCACAAAAAGGAAATCTGGCTTCGCAATAATCTGCACAGACTGCGGTGTGGAGATCTTGATCCTCACAATTGGATGTTTGGTGTTCGTACCTGTGTTATTCTCCAGTCTGGAGACATTTATGTCAAAGCATACGAGGAGTTCCTTTACACCACCTTGCTAATTTATTTATTAGAACTCAGTCTGCCTAGAGAACGCTGAGTGAGGCCAACAAACAAGTCGGCTCAGTTAACGCTTAAACGTCTTGAGAACAGAGATCAGATTTCGAATTAAATAGCGGTAAAGCTCTTCTTCATGTTGTAGCGGAAATACCGTTAAAATTCAACGGAGAGTCATTTAATTCATGCACTTTCTTAGTTACCACGATTCATTTGGTACATTAAAACATCGACTATAGTTCTATATTTACCCTTCATATGACATAGTTTTAAACATAGAACTCCCACCTGTGTGACTGCGGGGTGAGAAGGAAGCACCGTATACATAAACACGTAGTCATACGCACTAGCGTAGTTGGTTGGGGCACTGTGATACAAGTCAGAAGGTCGCGGGATCGAATCCCGATGAGGTCATTTTATTTTATTTTATTTTTTTCAATTTACCTAATCCTTCCAGCCGCTCTATGGTCCTGGGGTCGACTCAGCCTCTAACACAAATAAGTACCAGGAATATTTTTGGAATAATCTTGGGGGTCAAGGGCGGTCGGTGCATAGGGCTGACAACCTTCCCGCCATCTATGAGCCGATTGTCTAGAAAATGAGGGAACCTCAACATCTCACAACCCTATGGGCCTGTGACCTGGGCCTATGGGCCTGTTACAGGGATACCTTTACTTCTTTTTTTGGCTGGCGTGTAAGGTTGACAAACTTACCGCCATCTTTAAGCCGATTATCTAGATAATTTGGGACCCTCAACGTCTCACACCCCTATGAGCCTTCACGGCCTGGTACGGGGATAGCTTTACTTTTTTTTTCTTTTGCTCTCTATACCACTTACAGTATCATTAAAAGTCTCTGAATATTGCATGCAAAGTATATTTATGTGTGTCGTATATATATGACGGAATAAACGGCCATTACTTATATTGGCGTTTTTATTGCGTATATTTCGGGCTTCAGAAGTAATAAGCCGTGAACATCTTTTTCGAAATTCTGGCCCACGTGTCGTTCCCGATCACTTTCCCAACATACTCGTCGCAATACGTTGTCTGAAATCGGAAGCTCATTGTTAAATCAATTTAGAATAAATGAACATTACGTTTCAATTTACCTTCAACTAGCAGGAAGCAGAAAATAGAATTTCTATTCTAAAACATAAGCTGAAAACAATTTGAATGTTGAACAGTGTTCACTTTGTGTGTACGTTTGAGTCGACATAGTCTGTGATGTCGGAGATGAAAGCGTGCAGATATTCCGGATAAAGAGAAAGGAAGGCCGTACGATAAGTGAATTAGTCTTGGAATGTTTCCAGGTTACGTTTATTGGCCAGCGCATGTTGGTGGAGAGATCGGGAGTTACCTCTTCCGGAGAGCAGACGAACTACTCGGTAGGCAGATATAGAGATGGGAGTACTGAAACATGGGCCCCTCTTCATTTTAGACAATACTCAGGACAAATACTGGTAACTATAGAAATATTGTCACCTTCGAAGTTGGGACACCGTGAAGTTTTGTACATGGATATCAATGTTTGGAAGAAATATGCTGCCACCTTCTTCACGACCGAAAAGATCAGTGATAAAGTGGGCAGGTTGTGTATACAAAGTAACGAATGTGGTTATTCAAAATGTTGGCTGGTCATTACTGCGAAATAGCCGTTTATTACAATTCCGTTCCTCCGTTTCTACTGGCCGCTGCAAGGTCATGATCCTCTCTCCCGCCCTCCCCCACCCGCAGTTCCGTGTAAATCATTCTTTCATATGATGCACATAAACATAGCATCATCGTCACTCTAATAACTTCGATTGTGATGATGGAGGTAGCATGTCCTGCGAAACGTTGGTACCAATCTACACGGTTTCACGGCGTCACAACCCAGAAGAAGACACTACTAAAGAAATGGAAAGAATAGGTTGACTTAAGTGAAAAATATAAAAAATTGTTCTATGAAACTTTGCATGTCTAATTTAACATTATTATTCTTTTTCTAGGTATAAATTATTAGTTGTCAATTGAATAACCAGTGGAAATATTAAGGTATTTAATTTAATAAATTTTAGTCGTAGAGAAGTTACAAACAGTGCAGATATTGCAGTTCATAGAGCTATAAATTTGTTTTGTATTTCCTTAAATATGAATCATATGTACATTTGTGTTAAACGAACTGCATGTATGTTCACGAGATCCATGCGTCATATTAGATAATAATTTTTTGTATGACTGGAAGTTTTCGGAACTTTCATGAATTTCGTTTTGGAAGTTCGTGAAATATAAAATTTCTAATGGACCCAACAATAGAGCGCGTTGTTTAAAATTTGTAATATTAATGAGATTTAGGGATTTTCAAAGTGATTATATTAAATATCTATCTAAGTCATGAAGATAATTCTTCGTCTTCAGAAGCTAGTAGTTATTCAAATGGGGAAATAATTCCCCACATTTTATGGAATTCAAACACACATGGTATTGAGAAAATTAAATTTTGTCACGCCCTCATATTATACGTATTTACTTCACTTCCAATATTATTTACCCATCTGCGTTTAGATATCCTGAATACGTAGTTTTATACCTTCCGGTTTCCGGACTGCAATTTTGCAGAAATTCTTCATCTACTGCACCGTCACTCTCTGGCACCTTTCGGCTCCGTCTACCCTTCCTCAATGGGGAGGAAAGGGAAACGGTGCTCCGTCATACGGCTCTCGTACTGTGCTCACACGCTCCCTATGTTAGAGTAAGGGTTACTGCATGGTATATCTCTCATTAAAAGCTACCCTTTGACAAGCTATCAGCTTCTCAAAGATGACGCTGCAGTCCGTGTGTCTGACTCACCTTCTTTCTCTCGACCACCGTCATGCCGCAGAATGATGTTTCTGCTGTCTTCCCTTCTCCACATTACAGTAGGCTCTGGAATCCCTGTAGCCTTGCACCTCAACCGCACGGAGCTGTTCTCGGGTGCCACTCCGCCGTCAGGGGATTCGTCATTCAGGATATCTGGTGGGACTTTCACGTCTAGGTTACCCATCTAGAACAGGCAAGTCAGTGTATTCAGAATGGGATACTGATATCCAGGTTACCCGTTTAGAACGGGCAAGTCAATACATTCAGGTTATCCGGCGGGACTTCCGACTTCCAGGTTACCCATCTAGAACAGACAAATCAGTATTGAGACTGTATACCCAATGCTAGGCAACGAATAGGTAAACACGCCTCCTGAACAACAGAAGCAATGTTATCTGAGTGGTCCGTACCAAGATGTTATAAAGGGAAAAAAAAGTCGTTTGAGAGTTAGATGTTGCTCGAAGTTGAGGGAGTTTAGTTGAAGATTTTATCTAACTTCTGGTAGATGGGGGAAGCATCTAGATACCGCTGAGCCAGTAGAGACCGAACTCGCTGGCTGAGTCGGGACTGATGGTACGCACCAATATCGGTAGGGTATAGAGACTGGTAGAATATCACAGGGGGACGTACAATATACCACTGGTCGCGGTGCATGGGGAAACCCACCCCCTCCAATAATAATAATAATAATAATAATAATAATGATAGTAGGAGGAGGACGTCCAGCCGGCCGGGATATGAGATTGGGAGCAAAGGAATTGAGTAGAGTCGCGTCTTCGGAATTGGCCGCTGCAGAATAATTGAAATAAAGAAGTTAGTCTGTGAAAAGAAGATATTATGTGTGATTTTAAGTGACAGTGATACTGTTATAATTCCGTTACCATGATACGACTAGTGAAGGCTGAATATCCTAATGCAAATGCAACGGTGAGTTGTAAAATGTGTAAATCAATAATAGCTCTGTATTACTTGTAGTCGCGAGCTGTGAATTTATAAGGTGCAATAAATCCAATCATTCAATCCAGAACCCGCCTTATATGTCACGAGCAACCCCTTCCTCCCTCCCAATTGTGACGGTATATTCAGGATGGTATACTGATATCCAGGTTACCCATCTAGGACAGACACATCAGTATATTACCATCTGGGACATCACATCCAAGTTTCCCTTTTATAATGGACAAGTCAGAATATTCAGGTTATCCAGTGGGACTCTCACAGGCAGTGCTGCCATCTAGAACGGATTTGTGACCGTATGAACATGGCGCACAAAATGTAGCACACATCACAACTGCTTTTATAAAAAGAACATGAAATTTTATAAAGTGTAACTGGAAATTTGAACACCACCCGTGCAGATATGATTTTTTAAAACTTGTACCTTACTTATTTGAATATCTCATTGATATTTGCGGTTATTCAGCTGGTTTTAATTGCTTATGTTACAAAATCTGTCTACCACAAATCTGCAAGATATAATCTCCATAGGTCGCCCAGTATCCGCATTTGTAACTATTGTCTTAAAACCATATTTCATACGTACTAAAAGGTATAATTAGCCGGTCACGGTAGCCGGTCTCATTCGTCGTGCGGTCTTAGGTAACCACGGGTTTGCACTACTAGAAGACTAGAGAAGACTAGAAGAGAAAAAGTAAAAATTGAGAAGTTCCTCACACAATAATTTTGTAGGTTCAATTTTTAAAATTCAACTTGAGTACAAATATCATATTTTCAGATATAAAGCTGCATTGAAACAAAGCAGAGTGCCTAGTCTACAACTGTTCACAAAAAGGAAAAGTCAAAATTATGTTCCTCATAAAATAATTTCCTCCAACCACTTCTTAGATTCTTCTTGAATTTACATTCTTCAGAATTTTGACGTGTTGATGTACACAGCGACGATCGATGTTTAATTTATGTTTACTGTTCACCAGTTTCTCCTGAAAGCTCTAGAATTATCAGAAACAGACACTGTCTTCGATTCCCTGGCTCCAGGCCCAATGTTGTTTAAGACAACAGTCCCCCTCCATGGGGACAATTGAATATCCACGCGTCCTCTTACTTTCTTGTTCCTCCTACCAACTTCCATATTTTTTCTTCAGTACGACATTATCAGTGCAGAGGCCTGTCCATTAGTTTAATGCACGGCACCCGAGGGCCCCCGTCCTCCACACCTGCAAGTTGCTCAATCCACTTCTCATTTCCTCTGCCCGTCTGCGTCGTTTTTACCGGGGACAAGTGTGTCCCGCTGATTTTACTTCCTGGCCCACCGTCTCCACTCTACAAACACAGGCACTTCCCTCTTTATTTCTAGAACAGCCGTTCGTGATCCAAGTGCCAGAGAAAATATGAAATTTCTTATACACTGAAATTTATTTTATTAAAATTTGTTAATGCATGAATAAACAGTAAGATCCATCAAGAGTAACAAGTTTAATAGGAGAATACGTATATAATGTTTCCTTCATACATTTCGACTACTAGTGGACATCATCAGTTGTAACGAACAGTATAAATAAATATTTGATGAAATGATCCATTGCTAGGCTACGGATCGTTAGACATTCTCGCGGCAACGAATACCCAGGTAACAATAGAAGAACTACTGATTCTATGCAACGGCAACGTGAACACACTTCTGTAGCAAAATAGGAATTGCTAAGAAACCGGAATTTCTGTAGGTCCGCACCAAAACTCTTTGCTAGTCAGTTGAGTGGTAACATGTCTCTGAAATAACAGAAGACGGTGTTTTCTATGTGGTCCTCGGCGCGACTGTATAACGAGAAGGAAAAAATTTGGAACTGGCTTTTGTTAGAAAACTCAGCGTTTTCTCAGCTCAATGGAGACTTGGTGTGAGGGCTGGAATATCAAAATTAATGAAGATAAGACTTAGGGGATCTACTTCTCTCGTGGTCGTCTTCCGCCTGTGTCTCATCTTACATTGAATGGAAGATATATTCCATTTGTAAATAGTGTAAAATATCTCGGTGTAATTTTCGGTAGGAAGGGTACATGGAGATTGCACATAGAAATGATCGAAGCCAAGGCCTTCAGAATATTTATTAGAGCATATTCCCTATTTAAAAGTAAGCGATTGAGCGCTAACATTAAGCTGACCCTCCACAAAGCTCTCATTAGATCCGTGATGACTTGTGCCTGTCCCGCCTGGGAATTCTCAGCTATTAAGAGAACAGTATATATGCCAAACTAATTCTAAGGTTCAGGTGCTACATGTAGTATTACGCAACTTATCTAATCCTTGTTGTTAGAAGCATCCACGTAGTAAAACCACGTCGTGAAGTCCAGGGGTGTCAATGATATATAGTTTGTTATGAATATGTGATATCTCGATATCCTGATATTGATTGTGCTTTTACGTGATCATTGACATGGTGTATGCGTTTTGTAGTCTGGGCCTGTGTATTTTGAATGTGTACTACACTGTGCATTGGTTCGATGAAAGCTGAAGAAGTAACACGACTCTTATGACATTTCGGGCTTCCTTATCAGTAAACCCAGAGTAGGCTCTTCCACTTGATATCAACATGCACTTGGCTACATAAACCCCAACGAAGAAGAAACCTGTTAACGCCATTTTCAGAGTAGCATAAGGATATGGGTAGTAGGATGGTCTGAAACGTCGTCATACCTACGAAACTACATTTTGCCATCAAACAAAATATATCAAAATGAACATATTTATTGTGAATTTAACTTCAAGTACACAATTTAGAATTCCATTTTAAAACTTATACTGTGGTTCGCTGTTTGATGCTGACAGAATGGAGTACAAATTACGTTCACGAAGGAGGTAGGAGAACATTAAATTCAGGGAATATTTACTAGTGTTCGGTTCAGAATTTGCTTTTTCTTTTCTAACAAGAAACACGCAGATTACAGTAAAAATTACTATAATTTTTTCTCTCATTCTGTATGGGTATAAAACTTGACATCTCAAACCATGTCGAAACATAGATTGAAGGTGTCTGAAATAGGTTACGGGGGGGATATATTTGTACCTAGGAAAGAAGGCGACTAGAGCAATGAAGAGCTACTTAGTGAGGATTTTCATACATTATATTCTTCGGCCAGTATTGTCAGGGTGTTCAAATGAAAGCGAATGAGTCAGGATAGAGAGCTCTCTTAGTATTCATCATTCGTAATCATCCTAACACCGGATGCTATAGAGCCTTTATATTTGGAAAAGTGTTCTTAAATAAACAAAGCACAAAACTACAAATGAACCGTGAACACTGACTATTAAATTATGTCTATATTTGTTAGTGCCACTCATATTACTAACTAATTAATTTCATGGGGTTGAGCCTATCTTGAGAAGCCGCAAGTTTTGCAACAACTCAGGAAAGTCCCAACATTTTATGATAACTGAAAGTTTATTATCGTGTTCACAGGAGCCCTAAATTGGTCCCTATCCTGCGCCAGATCAATCCAGGACGCACAACTCAATCGTCTCTCTAAAATACATTTTAATATTATCCACCGACTTACATCTCAGTCTTCCTAGTGGTCTCTTTCTTTCTAGCTTTCCCACCAATATCCTGTATGCACTCCTCGTCTCCCCCATTCGTGATACATCCTCTACCCACCTCATCCTCATTGACTTGATCATTCCAATTATACTTGACGAAGAGTACAAGTTATGAAGCTCATCATTAGGCAGTTTGCTCCTATCTCCTCTTATTTACTCTGTCTCTTTGGTCCAAATATTCTCCTCAGCACCCTGCTATCAGACACCTTCAGTCTGTATTTCTCCCTTAGTATCAGAGACCCAAGTTGAACAACCATTCAGAACCACAGGCAAAATTATACTAGTGTATATTGTAACTTCTAAGTATTCAGAAAGCAGATGAAAAGATGAAAGGCTCTGGACTGAACGGTACCAAGCATTAACCAGATTTAATCTAATTTTAATTTTCTCCTGAATCATATTTTGATTTGTTACTGACATTCCAAAACATCTGAACTGTGCCATATGTTATCATATCTTAGCTATCTTTATGTCATGATTTTGCCCTGCATTCTGGTGACAAGATAGCAACATACGCTTAGCTTTCTCTGCGTTTTCTACTAGACCAACCTCCTTACTAGCATCAAATAAAGTTTCTGTTTTTCTTTATGGTATCTATATTATCACCCAGTAGATTCACATCGTCAGCATAGACC